ATGACTTTATTACCCGTTAGGCTCGGGGCCATGCAACACATTTCTCTCCAATGCCCAACGCTCCTCCCGCTATCTCTCTCCCACTCTTTTACCCCCTGCAGGATTTTTACATTTCAAAAATAGAAATAGACGAGAGAAAGAGAGGCACCAAGAGCAGCTATGGGTGGCAGGGAGATATTACCAGATATGTAATAATTGAACAGATATGGAGTTACAGGTACGCCCTAATGACTACTTTAACAATTAGCTTCAAGCCATTTATGTGTAAGCAGTGTGTGTGTGGGTGTCCCCAGAAAAAGAAATGAGTAAGAGCACTGTATCTGGAGGTGAAACGAGGAATACGTGGTTCTTACAATTTAATTTAGTCATAACAGTTACATCCTTTGTGTGATTTAAACATTTTTAATAATTAGCCACAATGTCTGTCAAAGATGGCAAATGGCAACACACAGAAATAAGACTCACTGCAGAGTTTAATGTGTGAACGCTCCTTTTTTAATGGCCGAAACAGAGTAATTAGTTGACACATCAGTGTCTTTCAGTAGATATATTACCACAATTGAAAAACAGCGCAGATAAGGAGATGCACCATTAATCTTCTCATTTACACGACAAACTCTAACAGAGCCCAAGGCCTCACATTGAATCAGGTCCGTCCTGTGACAGCAACATAAAGAGCTGTGCGCTGTGTGACCACGGTAACACTGCTCCACACTGGGTTTATGTCGCCGTGACTACCAGAGACCTCTTTGTGCACATGCATTCTTGGCAAGATATGTAAATTCTGACACATGTGAAAGATTAAACCAGTGCATCTATTGGGGATTAGAGCTGCATGTCCATCAGCAGAAAAATGACCTATTCTGATAATCCATCGATGTGTTTTTTAAAGCAAAAATTGCAGAAAATGCTGTTTTCAACCTTCTCAATTATGGATAAACCTGATCAGAATCAGAAATACTTTTTTATTGGAAATTAGATTTAATCACAATTTGTCCATTTTAGAAGATACAACATAAAAAATAAATGAATAAAAGCAGAGTATGGCATATCCTGCTTTTCGGATTTAACATCTCCTCAGGCGTTGAGATTGGACAATTTAAAGACAAAACCATTATCTAGAAAATTATTGCAGATTGATTCAAAATAAAAATAATTGGATGTTCAGATAATTCATATTTAGATTTATACCATATTTAATATTCCTCTGGACATAAGTGATGCTGCATGTGGTGCTTTCTGTTATCACATAACAACTGTGATGAATATGTTTCATCTTACAGTGAGGCTTTCAAATGTGCTGGTGATCATTGGTCATATATATAGTTTTGAAAAAACGATTTTGAACATTGAAAACCCGAAAACAGTGGATGTTTATAGTGCCAGAATCCTTAATATATCAAATATTGTTCAAATTATTCAGATTATTATTCGTGTTTCTCTAAAATAAATGATTTCTCAATAGAAATGGTTCCTTGCCTGCGAGGCACAATAAACAGATATGCCCCAGTAATATGGTAAAGTTGGCTGTGAGCTAGAATCTATTCCCCCAATCAACACCATTATTAACAACTGATGATGCAGTTATTGACAATAATTGTGAACTGCAGGTGAATTGTACAGATGGAAAATACTCGTTAGCAGCTCCTGCCACCTCAGACGAGGAAGATGATTATACAGTATGTGTGAGAAATAAAGTGGAGGCACAATGATTCAAAATGAGGAACAGCATTTCCACCTGCAAGGTCATTTACTTTAAATACCTTTAAACATATATTTCCTTGAATTGGACATTGATATAAATGTAGTTATTGAATCTAATGATAATTTCATTTTTTTATTGCATAATCTTACTTTTAACTTTGTAGAAATATTTAGATTTATTTGTATTTTTAACATATATTTTATAAATTGTATTCTAAAATGAAGCAACTGTCACAACATCTAATATCTCCCAGGAAGAATAAAGAATTGTGATTATAATATACAGTTTATAATTAGTATTCTAATTACAAAAAGAAAACCTCACAGTGTGATACCGAACATTTAGTATGTTTTCCATGATCAATTCACAGTTTATACAGAAATATTTCATTTGAAGGTCTCACCTGAATGCAAACAGTGCAGTGTAGAGACACGACGTGTGAGTGTCTCCTCTTCCTCCTCTTCCTCCTGTCCCACAGGACCTATTAGTCAATTACACCTGAGAGCTGCTGGTTATTATGGGCTGTAAACATACCTGAGTGCAGCATCAAACACTTCCTTCCCCTGAATTTTCTTCCAGTGTTATACGTGTGTGTGTGTGTGTGTGTGTGTGTGTGTGTGTGTGTGACATTCAGAAAAAGGAAGAATTATTCATGAGCGCTCTATTTGGCTCTTTCAGGCTCCCTCCTGATCTTCATGTTCAACAACTCTGGGGCAAATGCAGAATTGCAAATTAGCTCCCGGAAAAATCTAATGAATTGGCCATCCTCACAGGCTTCTTGTCAAAGTTTGTGCTGATGTGTCAACCATTCCCCCAGAACTCCAAACAGAAATGCGCAATATGGCACAGAGCGGAAAACACCGAGGAGCGGAGCACTCCATAAAACACAACTACCCTCTGTGCGCACTTCTACCAGGGCCAAGTCTCTGAGACCACTCCTCACAGCACTGAGACAGTCCAGCAGGAAGCTGCGCCCTCCTCTGGTTCACAATCACTCACATTCAGCCAGAACATGAATATAATGATGCAACATAAATCAAATCAATGTTAACGTTTGTTTCATTTATTCTATTTACATGTTTATAGACTCCTGCATTGACTTGGTCACTTACACAATTCTCTGCAACATTTAGCTTATTGTATTGATGTATTCTTTCTGACATGTATATAGTTCACTTCTCCTGCATTACTTGCACATTGGTCTTTCAACATAATCTGCACTATTTTATTTCTACTCTCTGTTTCTTCTTCAGTCTTTTTTTATTTATTTTGAAATGTGTTCTATTGTTTTATGTCCTATCTTTACTATGTTGCATTGTTGGAGGAGCCTGTGACTTTGCATTGCCATCTCTACACTGTAGCTACTGTGCATCTGACAATAAAGCCTTGCTTCTTGAATCTTTGAATGTATGAATCATATTGACTTCCTATAATCCACTGGTTTTATCTTGTGGATCAATGAAGTGACCACAGTCATGTTATCCATCTGTATTTAAAGATGCAATAAGAGTCTGCTGTGTTGCATGGAGCAGGATGAACAGAAGGCAGCAGCATCCAGTGAGCCAACATTAGTGTTAACACGCCATCTAGTGCTCAGTTCATGTGGTACACATGAATATACCAATATTTTACGATGACTCTTAATCCATAATGTGTGCATAATTGCTAAATTCCTAACCAGGGGGTTACCTTGGTTGGTTATTGGCTATTAATAATAATACATTACATTTATAAAGTGCTTTTCCTGGTGCTCAAAGCGCTTACAAGCAAGTAAAACAAAAATAACAACAAAAGTAGAAAGTGCTAAGCTAGGTGGAATAAGGGCAAGGGGTTAGTTGATTAGGAGTTGAAGGCAAGAGTGAAAAGGTGAGTTTTGAGGGATTGTTTGAATGATGTGAGAGTGTTGGCGGATCTGACGTGGCTGGGGAGGGAGTTCCAGAGTGTGGGGGAAGCTGCTGCGAAGGCCCTGTCACACCAGCTCCGGAGCTTTGTCCTGATGGGCTGCAGTAGGTTAGCTTCAGCAGACCTGAGGCGATGGGTGGGGGTGTGTCGTTGGATGAGGTCACAGAGGTAGGGGGGGGCAAGGTTGTTGAGGGCTTTGAAAGTGAAAGGTAATATTTTAAAGTCAATGCGGTGTTTGATGGGGAGCCAGTGGAGGTCATGGAGGATAGGGGTGATGTGGTCGGAGCGTCGGGTGGAGGTGAGCAAGCGGTAACTAATGGTTACACAACACAAAAAATATCATCACAAAGTGGCCAAAATCTGATCAGCTCATTTTCAGACAGGTTTTTATAGAAATGGATCAGGACAAAAAGAGAGGGAATCTCTTTACACAAAGGGGACACATATTTATGTAGAAGACATGAAAATGTAATAAAAGGTGACCTTTAAGGCCTCACTATACCAACGCTTGAGATGAAGGACTTATTTAAACCTAAAAATGAAAGAACACAGTACTTTAAGGGTTAAAGCTCATTTGAAAAACCGCCACTCAGGCTTTTTTAAAGTAAACATAACTGCATTCCTTCTCCCTGGCCTTCTAGTCAGAGCGGAGCACGACTCATGACATTTCCCTGTGTGTTGATTTTTATATTTTGCTGTTGTAATTTATTGTCTGATTTGCATGTTTATCTGTTTGGACTTTCTATCTTCATGGTTTATTGCACTTACTTTAAGTGGCTTTGGATAAAAGCATCAGCTTAATGAAATGTAAAACAACGAATACTACCTACAGGTTTCGAGGCTTATTCCTAGGCGTTCAGATTCCTTATTGACACTCGTTCCTTCTAAATAAAAATACTGGCAACCAGCAGCAGGACGGCAACATAATTGGTAATTACTTCAACCCCCTGCCAAACATTTGAACAAATAAATGAAATAACTCTTTCCTCCTATGACTTGCGTTTAAATCTGGTTTAATGTTGTATACTTTCCACGATTATAGACCGATTGAACCGTATCCACCTGATCACAGTTATCCTCAGACCACAGGCCTCCCATAAGGGCATGGATGTTCATTAGAAGTCCTTCAATATTTTGAAAAAGAAAAAATAAACTTTGTTTCAGAAACAGAACTGAAAAAGGAAATTGATTACCAGTCATAATTCTCATTGATCTTGTTTTAACATTGTTTTATGACCTCATTTGAGAGATTTGTTTATTGTGTGCTACGTGAGATTTTTAAAGCAAATTTGATGTTAAAACAGAGCCATAGCAATTATCTCAATAATGAAAATGTCCTTTAATACAATAAATGTATTATTATTTGGGGAAACGTCCTCATGAAGGCCTCTTAAAAGTACAAATGAAAATGTTCCATTTATTTACAAAAATAGATATATAAATACATTTCTGTACAAATGATGAGTATACTAGACAACTAAATAAATGCCTCAGTATCAGAGAAGAGACGACAGCTTCAAACATGTGGCACATATCACTGAGTACAGGTTTAACTTTGGTCTCATTATGGGTCTCATTATGTGTTCATGCACACTCTGGTGTTCTCCAGGTCGCCATGATGTCCGCTGGTCAGAGTACAGAGCGGTATTTCACTGCAAACATGAGCCACACTGCACATGCGCTCTCTGGATAAGCAAACACACGAACCCGGACGGCTAGCCTCACATGGTCGCCACGACAACACACTATCTCCTCACAGAACGGAGACCTGCACAGGACAGGAGACACCAAGTAAAAAAATATTAAAGTGCCATTATAAAGTATTTTATAAAATAACATACAACAAATAAAAGGTAGGAGAGATTCTTTAGACCTACAACTAGATATGCTGGAATGATAAATTAAATATTGTTAAAATCAAAGATATTTCAGTCAACAGGGACAAACACACTCTAGAATTTACAGCTATTAGTTTTTGCAAGCTCTCTGCATCCATGTGCGATGTAGCATGATAAAGCTAATTTGTATTTATTTTACCTTTATTTAACCTAATCTAATGATAATTGCTGAGTTTAAATAAATCTATTACTATTCATTATTTATTGTAAAACATTGACTTTCTAAATGCGTTCTTTAAACCCTAAGTATGCACACAGCCCACACTTTGTTAGTTAACTAGCTAGCTAGCTAAATCACCACATGGAACATTTCATACTGTATATTTGAGAAATGAATGGATTCCTATCAAGAAGCAGAAACTCTGAAGTAACGGATAAAGTGAGCTTCTTCTCTTCTCACATCCCTCTGTAGGGAGGTTCTGAGTTCCAGGGTCTGCTACAATGCGCTGCATGTAGGCCTTCCAAAGCATGGGTAAAGTCAAAACTTTTAACTATTTCTACAGGCATGTGCCAGCTCTGGAAGTAGTGCTTTGGGCTTCTGTCACTGCAGTATGCATAGGCTACTTTCAGGATGTGTTAACATTTTCCCAGAGGCTCTTTTACCTTTTTTTTGTCAAAGCTCTTTCATGAATTCCTACTACAAACACAGTTCAACTGCTGCTTTGAGGTGCTTTTGGGCCGGGGATGCTCTAGCAATAACTAGCAAACTTCTTTATGAGGCAAGGATGCCACAAAACCAACACTAAAGTACATTAAGTAAAAAGGCAGGATTTTGAGTAAATTGATGCTGTGGTTAAGGAGAAGTAAGTAAACTGAAAGATGTCTGCCAGCATAAAGCTTACTCTGAGAAAGAATGAAGGCATTTCTTAGCCAAAACATCCCATGCTTCCCTCTTGCTCACCTGAGGCAGGGTGGCAAAGGCTCTCCGGGCGTTGCGGTGCAGGAAGTGGATGGGAAGCCTTTGAAGGGTGTGCTCCGTCCGGCACCGCCCTCCTCACTGCGTCCTGGAACTCCTCGTTGCCACAGGAGACGCCGGAGCAGCGCTCCAGCTCGTACGCTGACAGAGCAGAGGACAGCAGGTTAGGACAGCTGATCGTCCCACAGATGTGGCCAGATCCAGGTCCTGCAGGGGGGGGCAGAGGTCACACTGCATCAATACACCTCACTTCACAGGCTGACAGAACAGCCAGGCTGTAAAGAGCATGAGGACCCAGTTCACTTTGCAAATGCATGCATTCAACCATTATATTGAAATATAAACAAGTGATTGGACAAACAGTCAATCTGTATCACTTCTAATAAACATACATTATGATACAAATATAGTATATTATTATATACTGCACACACCCTTGTGTTTTATCTCTAAAATGCAATTCTGAAATACACTTCCTGATCTTAAATAATCGAATCTCATTTATTGATATTTGGAAATCCAAAATGGGATTTTTAAGCCTTATATAAAAGCTTTTAAATATGTTAAACACCAGATCCAGAAATCCGTAAGGAAAAAAATGGTTTTCATGTTTCCATTTACTAACTTTCTGTGAAATAAGATGACGTAATGAGAAGACCGACAGTCAAACCTCAAACTGTGAAAAAGGAATCTGGTATTCACTTTGTTTTTTAAATGTTGTTATATTGTTGAATTCATTTGAGGAAGATTCACAGTGTCTTCATCAGTCCATAGAGCTTTTTGTCTTTTGAGAGGAATTACAGTGACAAATAAGAGACATGCTTCATATAGGTTAGGGTTTATGTTACCAAGCCTGTTGCCATTGCACTTTGTCACATTGAATCGCTTTTCATACATCAACTCTTCCAGCAGCCAAGCCTGCAAACTTTTGTTTTTATATTTAAACTTTTGTTTTCAAATTCCCACGTTAGAATAAAAAATGTGCACAAAAACAGGTGGAATAAAAACAGAGTTCTTTTATAGCAATGCCCTCAGCAGCTCTCTTTCTCAGCAAAGCACAGATGACTCAAACCCAGAGCTCCCGAAGGAGCAGCCGTATGTCCGAGCGTCTCTTTACCTTCCTGTGCTCAGACACCAGGGAGCGCAGCTCCAGCTCCAGCTGGTTGCTGGCAGCAGCAGGATCCAGAGAAGGGGGCACAGAGCGGAGGCACGGGGGGCAGGGAGGTGGTGGAGCCGGGGGCACAGACAGACTTCAGAGCCTCTCGACTCATTGCCTTCCACCGAGACTGATTCTGAAGGGAGAGACGGAGGAAAATATAGATATTTAGCTGCTGCTCTCATCTGGCCTTACCTTTCCTTCACACAGGAGAACAGGGTTTAATCTGGGGGTCTGCTGCTGCCTTCAGGGAACATATCAGTACAGGAGCTGCTGATGAACGCAACTGTTGCATATTTAATTTCCCTGGCAACGCACCACACCCAACCCACTGCTCTCCGCTCCAGACCAACTCTGTCTGACTCTAAATCAGCACTGTCCATCTGAATAGATCTTCTGTGGCCCATTCAATATGGAGTGTACATTTACATATTAAACTCCTTTCCCTGTCCCTGACTAAGGCAATACCAGGCAATGAAAACACATGACCAGCATATTGACATTTAAGTGGCACTTTTTCAACACTAAAGTGCCATAATAATCAACGAAAAACAACAATGAATCATCAGTAAAACATATTTAGGAGCGGCTGTAGTTCAGGAGGTAGAAGGTTGTCCTCCAATCAGAAAGTCTGTGATCCAGCGGTCAGCATGTTGATGCATGATGTGTCTTTGGGCAAATGATTTAAACCCTAGTTGCTCTCTATGGCCACCAGTGCGTGAGTGTGTGTGAGTGTTGGTCTCCCTGAGATGATGGCAGCCTGTGTGAATGTGTGAATGCTGTCTTGTACATATAAAGCACATTGAGGGGTTGACAAGTGTTTTATAAATGCAGTCCAGATCCATTTCATCTGTAGGGACACCACCCTCTTACCTGGAAGTCAAAGACACAAAGCTCCACAGCATCGGAGGGTTGGCAGTTGGCCCGGAAGGTGTGGTGGTTAAAGACACAGCCCACGGTGCGGTAGGGGGAGGTGGGTTTGGGCTGGGGGGCCAGGGGCGGGGCGTCTGGGTCGATGGCCCTGTGCACGTATCTGACCAAAGAGGAGAAGGGTAATCAGTGTCATAATAAATAATGAAATAATTGTTGGGAGATTGCCTGAATAATATAGTCCCAGGTATTGAAGTAAGGAAAGTAAAAATAAAAGTATGACCAAGGAAACAAGTAACATTTAAATGAAAATATTTCAGAAGATGAAAGTGCTCCTCAACAATACTTCTTGCTGTCATCAAAAACCTAGTTCCTCTCACTGACTTACTGTAACTATATCTATTTATAAAACAGACAAGTCAAATCAAGCAATCTGATTGATTCTTAGCCGTGATATACTGAGCGTATACCACGGGTAGAATTGTAGTTACTTTTCACAACAAGTCTCCGTCTCAGTATCCCTCCGCGTCTGAGAAAAACTGTATACAGTTGGGCTGAAAAGCAAACTGCCTGCCCTCCCTGCTCACACCTTTAGACGCTTCGCGTCGGGCCGAACCACGCCCCTTAGCTGTGATATACTGGGCATATACCACGGCCTGTCGTGAGCTATTGCTTATATATATATATATATATATATATATATATATATATATATATATATATATATATATATATATATATATATCTATCTATATATATATATATATATATATATATATATATATATATAGTTTTTTAATATATATACACAAAATATATTAAATCAAATCTATCTCCAATGAAAGATGATTAAGTCATCGCCAGAACAATAGTTGACAAAATCCCAGAACTGAATGACCATTGAAAATATAATCAGTTCTTCCTTGGCCCAGAGCCTGGCCACCAGATGTGATGGATACAGCATCTGAGACCCCCGCTGACTCACACAAAGACAGGATGAGCTAATGCAAGATAAAAGAATCATGCAGTGCACTTCATTCTAAGACTGTTTGGCGGTCAGAGAAAAAACTATAAATGTTAAACATTGGAGGAGTTTCTTAAAGAAGAGTTTTCCAGATGTACACATTTTGTTACAAAGTATCCAATACATTAATAGGGGGGCAGTAAAGCAGCAGTTTTTTGTTTTTGACTGGAAAACAAATAAAAAGATAGACTGCACCTGTGAGCCGTGAGACTCTCCCAGAAGGTGATGCTCCCATCGGTGCCGCGGGTCAGGACCCAGGTGTGAGGGGTTCCTTTGGCCTTGGTGCCCACACACACATAGGCATCCAGGCCAAAGCCCAGCAGGAGGCTGCACAGCAGGGTGGCGTGGTCCTCACAGTCCCCCTGCAGGGACACAGAGAGGAGGTCAGGTCCTTCAGGCAGCTCCAAATGGAATCTGTAGTATCAACACCATGTTCATAGTTTAAACTCGCCTAACCTTAAGAGAAGGCCAAACACAACTTACACAACTCTTTCAACCCTGGTGTGACAAACAATGAGCTTCTATTGAGATGTTGATCAAGCTCCAAAAGCTAGAAGGGAGAATTTAGCTACATATTGTATTCGGGAATGTTCAATATTGTTTTCTTTCTTATAAGGAAAGAATACAATATTGCCAAATTGTCAGTATTATCTTTCGGTGGAGTATTAGAGGATTAACATTTCCTAAAAGAACATCTTCATTCTTAAATGTTCAGTTTTATAGGGAATATTCAACTTTATTTTGGTATAACTAAGTATAACCAATTTCATCACAAAATATAAACATTTTATCTAAACAAATTACGATTTTATCCTAAATGTAGACAGATTTGAAGAGATTTACTATTTTCATGCCGTGCTTGTTGCTTGTGTAATTCATCCCGTCACTACAACAGTCTGTTAAACAGAAATGCAATATCCTGTTTTCACTGCACTGTTAGCCTTTCTCAGGAGAGTTCAACACACACATTCTGCTGGGGGGGGGGGCTCTGTAGTATTGAATCCTCCATGGCAGTAGGCAACTCTTATTTCACTTGAAAACTCTTCCAGCACAGTCCTGGGTTGAGCTGTTGCTGCGTGCTGGCTCGGGCTGTGGGCGAGTCAGAATGATAGATGCTCCCCAGAAGGGCCAATATGGACGGCAGCATCAGAACAGGCCGGGGAATGATGAGGCTAAATTAATTTCCCCTGGAATGAAACTCATAAATCACTGCTGACAGGGGCCACTTTGTGTTGTGTCTGTCTCGCCAGCCGCTCACAGAGGAGAGGCAGGGAACATTTATCCTGCGGTGGTCTGGAGAATTCCCCACTATCTCGTACAGATGAAAATGCATCAATCAGGCGACTGTGCACAAATCCTCCTTTCTCAGAAATGACACAATCAGCTGTGCTCAGAAACAGAGTGAATGTAAACACAGCTGAACCAAGTCAGCGCGATGACTTCTGGCTCTTGGATCAAATTGTTTTAAGAAAACAGAAGTGTGTGAAACGAATTCTTAACATGCATTGCATTCAGAGGGGCCATAATAAAGTTATATGAGGATAATATCCTTTAAGGGAAATAAACAGAGACACTGGTTAGGTTTGCTTTTTCCCCTCTGCTGCACTCTTGAAATCATGAAATCTGATCTTGATATCAATGAGATGACTTCAATCAAGTTGAAACACAAATATCACATAGAAATAATGATTGGTAAAACATTTAGCACATTAAACACGAGTCCACTCACTGAAGGCAGATTTCAAATAAGTCTACTGCTCACACTACACTCACCAATATATATCTGTTTTGGCGTTTGGAGAATATGCAAAAAGGTTTGACTCTGGGATCAGAATGAAAAGGTGCAAAACAGGTTGAACATCTAGTGTTGCTAAAAACACATCTTTAGATTGAACTTAAATATGTCTTGATAGGAAAATAAATACAGATGGTTTGTATGCTCAGAGTTAACAACAGCAGCATTTTGAAGGTCACTGGAAGATAAAAGGGTGGAAACGACTGAAAGGTTCAGCAACACGTTATGGCAGCTATCTGTGAGATGAGCATCACATTTAGTTTGAATTTAGAAATGTAAACCAAAAAAAGGTCATCTTGTACTCCTCATCAGGAGCCAGTTTTGACATGATGTCATCATCATGGTCTGGACTGAGGCAATACATGACTATACATGTATATGAGGTGGTACCACCAGACGTTCATGGCACACTGAGTCTATGAACTTGGCGTAGGATAAGGTGGTGGAGGTTTTCATCTGTGTAATGTGTCAGACCAGCTGGTGAGATCATGTGGATACAAATATACCATCTGATGTAAATACCAGTCGGAAAGGTTTTTCTTATTTCGTTTTTTCCTTTTGGAAAGCAGAATGTGATCTGGATGATTTTATGACATGCTTTAGAACAGTGGTTCTCAACTGGTCAGGCCTCGGGACCCACTTTTTTCTTTGTCAATAAATCGCGACCCGAAATTTTGAACCACTCAAATCTATTCAACAAAGAATTGTGCTGTAATATACGCTTTTCAGCATACAATATGAATTAAAGTGAAGTACAGTGCATATATCCCTTATATCCCTTCACAGAACTAAAGTACGCTTTAAAGGTTTAATGAGATGATGGAATCAAAGCTGAACTGTATAACATCAAAAGGCACACATGCTGAAAACCCAACCCCAGAAGGGGGGTCTGGGGGGATTCTCCCCCAGAAGATTTTTAGAAATACTAACATATAAACTACGCATTCTGGTACACTCTGAGAAGAAAATAAATAAATCTATTACTACCCGATCTATTAATAATATTTGATGCCATTGTTTGTTTTTCACTTTGTTCTGACAGCTGAACTTGCTGCTCCACACAGAGAGAAGAGCAAAGAGGAGATAGTCTGTGTGAATTACTTTAAATTGTGGGTAAGGGTAGGTAGCTCCCATTGTTCTGTGACCTGTCAATCATCAAACCGGGGGTCATATTTCATTACGTGTTCATTTCTATCTGAAGTTGTACCCATGGATGTATAAAGAAGAGTTCTACCGCAAAGTTATTCTCCGTGGGGACTTCCAACAATCTTGATTCTGATTGGCCAGAAGACTCGAAAAAACATCAGCAAAGATGTTTTATTGAGAAGATGATCACTACGTGACAGAAGTTTTCAAAACCGTTTATGGTCTCCGGTACTTCCAGTCCAACGCCTACTGCATGCACAGCGATAGAAAATCGGGCCTTCAAAATAAAAGTTTGACTTTTTTCACACAGAAAAGAAGATAGTTTTTACTTTGAGGGTTTGTGACTCTGCAGACCGTTTACATGCATACAAACCTTCATAACACACAAGGGGACGGCTAATATCCGGAAAAGCATGACATGGGACTTTAAAGCTGTATACATACTTGAAAAGGAAAAGACGTGTTATGTGCAATTCATGTCTAATGTTGAAGTTGTTTAATTAAAGTTAATAAAAGTCCAGGTAGTTTGCTATGGGAATTCTTCTATTTTAGACCTAAGGACACACTGTAGAGAAGGTTTGGTGTGAGAAGCTATAAATCAGCTGTCATCACAGATCTAGCAGTATAGGAAGTGATTGTCATCTGATTAAAGGCAGTAGCCAGTTATCCTTACCTTGCCTCTACACAGGAAAGCCATTAATGTGCACCACTGCTCCTGCTTGTCCCCCCCTCCCACCACCGGGGCCTTCTCGTGGGCCAGCAGGCTGACGAAGCGGGCCGCCTGTCGGGGGCTCTCCAGCAGGCGCCCTGCCCGCAGGACATGCACGTAAGAACACACTGGTCTGTTGACGCCGTTCTCATCCTGGGGGGGGGGGGGGGGAGAGAAAAGAAAGAAAGAAAGAGACAGGGAGAGAGACAGAGAGATAAGAACTTGAGTCGTGGCTGATTCAGGATCTCCCTGTCCACTGTCTGATATGCAACTCATATGCTGCTAATTTCATTTACTTCACATTTCAAATCAAATGATTAAAGAATCTATGTAGTTTGGGAATAAATGTCTTTATAAGTAAGTAAACCTATCATGTAATTGTTAGATTTTTTCCCCCCAAAACAAGAAAATGTAACAAACCTGTGCAAAAATCTTGACCATTTTGGATTGGTGTGAGGGACGTATCTGCAGGAATTCCCTCCACCACTGTTTGGCATAAACTAAGAAGAGTCTCTCCTTCTCTGCTGTCCTCTGCCTCTCCAGTGATTGCTGAATGAGAAACACACACTTCAGTGACTATGTTTAGAGCTCAGCTCTAATGTTTAGGGATGGGTATCGTTAAGGTTTTAACGGTACTGCTACTTTTATCGATACCGCTTATCGATCCGGTCCTTTAACGGTACTCTTATCGGTTCTTTTAGAGAGAAAAAGAAGGTAAACTAACTAAAGAAATTGTGAACAAAATGAACATTGCTTTTTATTTAAATTAAATAAATAATATTTCACATCAAAAGAAACAACAGTGTTTTAACAAATCGTAGTAAGTAATCTGATGACAGAATAGCTGAAACTTTTAAGTTAACTCCGTGTGTTGCTGCTAGCATACATAATACCCGACGTGGAAACGTTACTCGTTACAGAGCTACTAGAAAGACAGTCTAAAAAGGTGCATTTCTCCGTCTGAACGTGGTGCACTTTTGCAAGATGTTTAGACAAATTGCTCGTGTTGCCGCCCTGACATGCTAAACTCTTATTGCACTTTTGGTAACAAGCATTGTCCACATCGAGACGGGTAAAGTTTAACCACACCTCGGAGCGCTTTCTCTCCGTCTCCGCAGTGTGTGTGTGTTGCATGCACGTAGCAGCTGCGTGTGTGTAAACCGCCCCGCCCCCTCGCACACAGACGGGGGAGAGAGAGATCTTTCGTCTGGATTGGGAAGATCGAAAATACAAAAAAATAATCATAGACGCATTTTGCATCTTTGCATATTAGAAACGGAGTTGGCGACACTAAAACTGCAATATAATGTTTGTGTAGCAATAATACATATGACATATTTTTTAGATGTCTCCAGTACCGATAAAAAGACCGATAACGTCGGAGCTTAAAGAGCAACTTGCAGGTTTTTTTTTTTACTAGATTTATACTTAACCTTGCCTGAAAATTACAATTAAAAAGTTAATGCAGGATTTGATATGTTTTACAAGACATAAGGGCAATAATTCAGAAGGAAAGGAGCCGTTTTGGGCTCTGCTACTAAAAACTGCTTTTTTTTTACGTCATACGTCAAACGCGTCATATTACGTCACATGGGGGAGCAACTTTCTCGGACTCCTTCTCTGCCCAATCCGCGGTAGTAGTTTGTAGTTGGTTTGAGCGGTTTTGATTTAGTGAGCTGGTATTTTTTCGGTAATTTTACATTGCATTTCACCATTTTTAATCATGGTGAGCTTGAGTTTGTGCAGGTTGCACAAACTCCAGCCTGTCAGGACATCGAGTCCACAGTTTCCCCTAACAGGAAAAGGACCGGAGCTAGCTAACTCGTTCCTGGGTGCGTTGTGCGAGGTGCATCTACCTCCCTGCAGCACATACTCTCCACAGCTGAGGCCTATCAAACAAAACGTTTATCAGGAAACCGTATTACATCTCTCTCCCCCCCTTCGCTGCTCTCTCTCTCCCATTCGTTCCTCTCTCTCCCCCCACTTCGCTCCTCTCTCTCTCCCCTCCGGTACACAGCACCGTAAGACGTAGTGTGGAGTTGCATTAGGTAACGCGAGATACGGCTGAGACTTGCACATTCGTTTCTGTTATGAATCAGTATCAACAGTCCTGCCAGTAACGTTACTATATTATCAATACTACTTTAGTTATAGCCTGATATATGATAGCTAACTTTACAATGTTGTGATGGGACCGACGTTAGCTAACATTAACTGTAGCTAACGCCGGTCACTCACCAAGACAGCTGCCCAGTTCTCCACTGGTTCTCCTCACACCACAGCTCCATTTCTCTCAGATGGCCGTTATTTTTTCTAATCCTTGGCTGCTCCTGGTCTCTTGGACGCCTAGCAGGCTCATAATTATAAGGTTGTGGTCCATCATATGCATTCGAATATACATTTTCAACCTCTTCTGTGTCAAAACTAGCATTGTGATCCATGTTTATTAATACGTTATGCGGAAGTAAAAATGTCTTACAAAAACGGTGCCAGATGTCACTGTAGTGTATATTTATGTATATTTTTTGGAAAATCTAGTGTATACATTATTTTCCTACACTGGTCTCTAAGCTGCAAGTTGCTCGCATTTTGCAGTCTTTTTGCATATTAGAAACGGAGTTGGCGACACTAAAACTGCAATATAATGTTTGTGTAGCAATAATACATATGACATATTTTTTAGATGTCTCCAGTACCGATAAAAAGACCAATAACGTCGGAGCTTAACGGTACCACGGTCTTTAATAATTCAGCCCCGGGGCCCGTTTAATACCGGGGCTCGGTACCCATCCCTACTAATGTTTCTCTCACAATGATGCCTTCAGATAAACTCTGAGGAACACTCCTAACACCAGTAATTGAAATCTGTTGTAATGATTCACTAGTTGTTCACAGTGGTTTTATTCATGAATAATCCTGAAGCCGATGAATAAACAGATAGAGAGATGAAGGGGTTGAGTGTGCTGACCTGTGTGCTGATGATGTCAGCGCTCAGAGTATCAGTGAGAGGGGGGTACAGCTCCAGACCCACAGTCAGAACTCCAGCTGGGACTTTACATTCACTTCCTATAGACACAGAGATGTTTAATAAAGCTCTAGCCGAGTCACTAAGAGCAGGGAAGAGACAAAACTGCAGATTCTAAACCGTATATTTGTAGCATATGTAATTAATTTACAGGTAGTAGACGCATATAACTACTATTTATATTGTACAACATCTGTTTCAAAGCTGGGGGTTGGTACTCCTCCAGGGAGCATACGATTATTAATGGGACAGAAAAGAAGAAAATATAGTTTGACCTAAGTGTATAATATGTGTTTATCTATAATTATTTTTCTGATCTTTTACATAATGCCTTAAACGTTATTCGGTGTTCTCAAAAAAAATTGTTTTTAAGGAAAACAGAAGCTGCTCCATTATAGAGAGCCAGAGAGGTCAGGGAAGCTAAACAGGTTCAACCATGAAATACCCCGCCAAAAGTTTTCAGTGTAGTCGGGATGATCAGCTTGTTATGATTGTGATATACAGCATGACATTTCAGTATCACACTGTTGCTCTTGTATTTATCCCTTTTCCATACCGACTCCCATCAGCTCCACAGCAAAGCAGGTCTTCCCATTGGGCGAACAGAGGACAACCCTCCAGTCCAGGAAGTAGGAGGAGACCAGCATTGTCTCACTGGAGGTGTCCGTCTTGATCAGCACCAAATGAACCGGGTCACACAAAGACAGCATGTTGGTCCCGTCCGCCATTTTGCTGCCTTCACCTGCAGTGCCAGAAGTTATTACAAAATTACAAAGTCAGCATAGATAATTTATTAATCAACTGTATAACAACCGGTAAGGTCCTGATTGGTCCTGTGTACCTGTGCCCTCTCTGTGGATCTCTAAGAGGAAGCCCTCCCTCAGGTCCGGCTCGCAGGCACAGGGCACTGGCTTCGAGCGGAACCTCTGGTTACGGAAATGCAAGTAGACTGTAAACGTAGAACACACCTGACCAGGTAAAGGCTCTGGCTCCTGGAGGTGCTCCAGAAAGGCCTTCCCACCAAGCACTTGGAGATACAGGTGCCGCCTGGATGGGTCAATATTGGCTGCAATTATTTTAAAAATGTCTTCAGTTAAATGTTCAAACACTAACAAGGACAAAAAAAGTGAAGGTAGGAGGCATTTTTACAATGTTGGTTTATTTAGGCTTTTAAATGATGTCTCTTACTTTTTTTCAGCTGAGTAATATTCTTGTCAACAAAGTGAGTGGCAGGCTTTGGAGGGGATCCTGGTTCTGCATCTGTGAGTACTTCCTACCAAAGCAGACCAACATGACTGAAGTTATTCAAGAAAGCGGTTATTGTGATAGGAAGAATCTACAGTATTTTAAAATGTTGGAATCAAAATTAGTTCAAGTGAACTAATCATTAAGTATGTCACTTGGAAAAATTGCCTGTTAAAGGATGGCCAACCTGGGTAAACTGTAGGTCCTTCATCACATCATCTATGATGCCCCTGTGCTGCAGAGCACGTAGAAAATCAGCCTGGGACAGAGTGCGATGTGCGGGCCCGTGGTCCTCCCTCACAGTCTCAGCTAGCACCTCTCGGATCCTCCCATGGATATTCATCTGATAATCAAAAAAGACAGAATAAACACTCTCATACAGTCAGAAGGAGATGTCTCAGAGCTAACACATTTTTGTCAAGGTGACAAAATATCTTGTATAGAGAGACACTTTGTCATTTAAGGTTAATTATGCATGGTTTCCCATACCCCACAGCAAATGTATGAATAGCAACATCTGACAACCGCTGACATCACACTTCTGTGTTTGTTTACAAGCCATCAGCCATCTTCACTGTGCTGGGGCGATTGGTGGTCAAAAAGCAGCAGTGCTTATTATCTTGAAAATCTTCATGGGAAAGAAGAAACCTATATTTTGTTAGAATCTTAGTACAAATGCAGTTTCAAAATAGAGAATTGCCTTTGTATTTACATCAAGATATTCATGTCTCAAACACAGTGGTTCCATATTCAGGGTTCTTACACCTTTTCCAAAGTCAAATTCAAGCACTTTTCAAGCATTTTCAAGGTGCATTTTCAAGCTTTTCAAGCATCTTACAGCGGTTGTAAATTACATATTTATATACACATACTTATACTCAAATGATTATTTCCCTACCTCACATTAAATCAGATGTTCTTTATGCTATAAACAACCAAATGTGTGTTTCATAATAGCATTCTACATTTAAAAATTTTAGAAAAGAAAACTAAGTTTAATATTTCAAAATGAGTGACCCATCTGTACGTAGACTGGGCATCCCATATAACCTGGCTGAGCCAATATAAAACAATCAGCCAAATAACTTTTCAATACATTATTGATTACTATTTTTGAGGTACTTTTAGGTTGGCAGTAAACATAAATCAGAGGTAAATGGTGTACTTTTACTCTACTACATGTATTTAATACCTTTAGTTACTTTACAGATGTGGATCAATGATGTGAAATATAATCAAGTGTTAAATCAGACTTTAACACTTTAAAGTCAAAATGCACAAGCTACCCTGCAGTATACAAAGTCATTCAAACTAGCTGCACCTTTACCAGCTTTGATAACACTTTAATGATCAATCACAGTGGCGGCCGGCCCATAGGGGCACTACGGGCGCCGCCCCCCCTCTTCCCACATTAAAAATTAAAAAAATAATATTTAAAAAATATATTTATTTTTATTTTTAATAAACAAGGTAAATATGATATAACTGGTATCAGTAAACTGTATAATCTACAATAAAATCTCGTTTAAAATTGTGTTACGATGTCTAAAGTTACTGATAAGTCACATGTTTCCTGCCTGGCCTTGCCCGTGTATCATTACTCCCTCTCGTCTGGGCGCTATGCACAGCGCCCAGACGAGAGTGCAGCAAGTGCAGCAGAAGCCAACTGTTGCTATCTTTAAACTATGCCGCCGAAACATAATTTCAGCCAATCAGCGTCGTCAAATCTGATGGTCACAGGGCTCCTACGTGAGCGCCCGGTGCAGTCTGTGAGTTGTTTGGACTCGTATCCAAGGAGACAAAACAGGAAGCTGTCATACACTCTGGAAGCTACCATTAGCAGCTAATGAAAACTTCGTTTTTGACATAAAAATTGAATTATGGATCATCAATCATTTTTTCAAAGTGACAGACACATTGGATTAACTTTCAGCTGCGTTTTTCTCGTTTTTGATCAGAATTGTTATTCTGCAAAAGCATATCTCCGTGTTTTGCTACCTAAAGCTACGTCGTGTGATGTCTGTATTTGCTTCCCCTGTCGCGAGTTCTGATCGCTCAGTGATGATACTTATATTTCTAGAATCTGTGGAATCTCAGCTTGTTGCACAGTTTATGCTGTAGAAACTATGTCCAGGACAAGGTGTTTGGAAGTTTTGGAAGATTCATAGCTAACCACACTGACGTTATGGAGGTATTGATCAGTCTTCTCATATTTTTAAGCCTCAAATTGTCCTTCCCCCCCCCCCCTCTAACATCACCAGAAGTCATAATTTAGGGGGTCTTTTCTCAAAAAAATGCCCCCTAGTATTGTTTGATCACCATTTCCACAGCCCCACCTAAAATATTTTCCACCAGCCGCCACTGATCAATCATTATAAAACATATCATATACAATTATTAGGGATGCTCCGATCGCCGGAATCAGTATCGGCCGATACCGATCGCCGATCCGATCGAGTGGGCGGGGCCTATGGGGATCTTCCATTTAAAGTGATGTTTAAAACTCAGTTAATGGGGCTCATTCACTGGCGCTTCCACAAACCAACCAACCAACATAATTATTACATTCAAATGAAGTACATTATTCAAGTTTACATTAACTTGGGATAATAACACGGGAGAAATTAGCGGAAGCGCTCTCTTTTCCTCTCTCCCCCTCTCTCTCTCTCCTGACAGCCCGTCAGTATCGTCTCCTGCAGCTCACTGATCCAGTAATGAGTGACCCGACAGTGAAGAATAAATATATTTATAACTAGTTTAGCTTGTTCCAGAGGTAGATAAAATAGCTAAGTGTGTTAGGTCTAACTCTTAATGTGTGTTCTGCTCCGCTCACCCGTCCGTCACAGCGGGTGGAGCTGCAGGATTTCTGCTTCACACACGTTGCATACCGCTATTTTATTGTCATTTTCGGACACTTAAAATACTGCCAGACTAGTGAAGCCATTTTGGCGAGCTTGTTTTGCCGCGCACAGAGAAAAGTGTCATGTATTTTACATGCAACGATAGCCTAATCTAAAATGTTCTACGACAGCGTACCTTTCGTGTGGTGTGTGGCTCGTCAGCGCAGACTCTCGCATCGTTATTGTTGCACACTTTGCAGGAGGCTACTCTTGGGCTTCGCTTGACCCTCGTCTTAGCCATGGCTTGTATTTGTCTTCTGCTAGCCAACGCTCGTTGAAACGGCAACCTCCTGGCATACTGTCATCTATCACTCTCATCAGAATGCCCAGGTCACACACGTAACAAAAACACTTGCCGGTCACGCGCATTGCGCGGGAAGGCCGGAGCGGAGCTGTTTTATGTAAAAGCGAAGCAATTAAGCGCGCTCCGACTTCTTTATTTTCTTTTAATCTAAAAAGCGAAGTAAAGCATTTACAATTTCAAGCACTTTATCCCAAATTCAAGCACCATTCCCAAAATGCAAGCAAACCTTGAAAACACCTCGTACAATTTCAAGCACTTTCAAGGATTTCCAGCACCCGTACGCACCCTGCATATTGAACCAGTTACTAGGAAAAACATGTGTGCACTTTCATCAATGAGTGAGTAGAAATGAATTTGCTAAAAATTTGAAAAAGCTAAAGATAAGATTTACTGTATTGATCCCAATTTGGGAAATGTTTTCGTCACAGCAACATGTAAACAAGGTATTGCACATAGTGTGAACATGTAAAAGAGTAGAAAATAAAAAACATAAAATATAAACATATCGAGATAGAAAATAAAACCGAACTAAAAATATACATATTGCCAATTAAATATATATATTTCTGTAGACTATCTGTCAAATATATACCATATGAAGAGCCAATTACAGCTTCGAAGATTTTAAAGTAGGATATTACTGACAAGTGTGCAAGGAATAGCAGATTAAATTAAATCTAAATGTAAAAGACCTTTTTTCGTATCTGTACATTGTGAAGAAAGATTGATGAAGAACGGTTTATAAAGGTAGTGAAGTCCAGTTATCAAAGCAACATAAGAAACGATGTAATAACTGTTAACTGTTGTAAAGTGTTATTGCAGGAATCCTGTATCTGTACTTGTGACAGGGCGGGCTGATCCGCCTGTAGAGAAGCAGCTCCTGTCTGTCCAGCTGCTGGTGGAGAGGGTAGGGTCGACAATGATGGACAATAGTTGGTAAGTGCCCTCCTCACCACCACTACTCTCAATGTTCTATATCGTATAGGCTTCGCCCTCCAAGGCTATCGCTATTGGGTAATCCCACTGCGCATGCGCAGCACTGACAGACTTAATCCACGCCCACCTATGACGTGGGCCCCACCTACGGACTCACTTCCATATAAATAGGAAGGAGGCCCGACAATCTGCTCCCACTTTTCTTCAGCACAGCAGAAGCACCGTCAGGCACAAGCTCTTTTCAGAGCTGCAGGCTAAAAAGCAAAGATTGCTCTTCTAAAAAGCTTTTGTTCCAATTATTAAGATGCCAAACAGGATACATTATGAGTTACGACCGACGCTCACAGTGTGAGTCCTGCCTGGGATTGGAGCACGCAAACGCGGCTCTCACTCCCCAGGTGTCGTGCACTCATTGTGTCCGTCTCCCTCTGGCCCACAGACAGCGGACGCTCTCGCTGCTGCGGCCGAGGATGATTGGCTGGTCCAGTAGTCTTACTCCGTGGACCAAGCCCTTGACTTATTGGATCCGAGTGGCGGGCAGCAGTCAGACGACTCCTTCCCCTCCATTCACGGATCACCATGTGGTTCCCCCATCCTCCCTCTCCTCCGGACGGAGGACACAGGGCTGACACTGGGTCCCGGGTGCCTATCTGCCGTCGATAGGCGGTATTCTCCAGGAACTCCCGGAGATCATCGGAAAAGGCAGCCGCCTAATGAGATCTCCCCGTTAACCCGGTTCAGGAGAGCTCTCCTCCGGATGACATAAAAAAAAGCTGCATAATGTGCCTCCTACACACACCTCCGCTCATTCCTCAAGCGGGTTTAAGCGTGAACGCGCCTCAATGTCCGGTTTACGAGCCTTCTCCTAAACGGCGACATGATGAGCCACTGTGCAATACAGCGTGTGGAGGTGCATAAACCAGCTGTTTTTAACTTATCGGTTAATAAACAGCAGGGCTTACTATTCAATCCGTCTATCTTAACCTTTCGGTTATTAGGCAGCACGGATTTTTCCTCTGTCTCAGACGTACCTCCTACCCACGGTCGTAATGAGCCCACGAGGGCCATTATTACGCCTCGTGTGGACAGCACTGCACACACCTCCGCTCATCCCTTAGTGGTGTTGAGCGTGAATGCGCGGTTTACGAGTCTTCTCCTAAACGGCGACATAATGAGAGCCTGTGTGAAATGCAGCGTGTGGAG